ATATTCCCCACCTGGCACTCCTCACCCTTTTATGTAACCTTCCTAGTCTCTACAGGCATCTCAGTTGTGATCTCCCGGAGAGGCAAACAGAATGTGATCCACATGTGTGTGGAGGATAATCCAAGAATGATACCAGTAAAAAGTTTCCCAACCAGACAAATGGGCCATCTGGAAGAAATGTTGGATCCATACCACATTCTACACTAGGATAAATTCCAGATTTAAATCCAAAGATTTAAATGTAAAAAATAAGACTATAGAATAATTTGTTTATAACTTCTGAGTACAAAAGACCTTTCTACTATGATTTAAAATCTAGAAGATTGATACATTCTATTTTTTTAAATGTATTACAAAAAAAAAAAAAAAACCAGCACCACAGGCTAAGCTAAAAGGCAAATGACAAACTGGAAAAAATGTATGTAACTCATTTCCTAAAGAGTTAATTTCCCTAATATCTAAGAGTTCCTATAGTGCTCTCGAAGGTTTTGCTCAGTGGTTAGAGCCTTGGCCTGAGGACCAGAGAGTCCTGGGTTTAGTTCCCGTTAAGGGCATGAATTTTGGGTGCAGTTTGTCCCCAGCCCCAGTTCGGGTTGTGGGTGGCAACCAGTCTATGTGTTTCTCTCACATGGATGTTTCTCTCCCTTACTTTCCATCTCATCCTCAGGTGAGGATTTACAAAAAAGAAATAGATAAAACAGTTCCTATCAATTAAAAAGACTAAAACTCAGTAAGACTAAAAGGATAAAGGATATGAAAAGACAGCTTATAGAAAAGAAAATATAAACATCTGAAATACATTCAAGATGCTCAACTTATATTATGAAAAATGCAAATTTAAATTATACTGTTATCATTTTTACCTATTTGAATAGCACAGATCAAAGAGTTTGATTATACACTATGTTGGTCAGAGTATGGGGAAATAGGTACTCTAATATATTATTGGTGAGAGTGTAAACTGATTCAACCTCCATCAAGGGCAACTTGACAATGTCTATAAAAGTTGCAAAGGCACATACCCTTTGACCTAGCAAATTCTAGAAATAAGTCCTATAGGTACACTTGCTCAAATGTGAAATGAGTTAGCACAAGGTTATTCATTGCAATATTGTTATAGCAACAAAAAAAGTACCCAGAAGTAAACAATTTAAATAATCATCAGTAAGAATAAGAAACTGGTTCAACAAAAAATAATAAATCCAGCCCTGGATGGTTTGGTTCAGCAGTTAGAGCACTAGCCTGCGGTCCAGAGAGACCGGGGTTCAGTTCCTGCTAAGAGCCTGTACCACGGTTGCAGTTTGTCCCTGGCCCTGGTTGGGTCGTGCAAGAAGCGGCCACTAAATGTGTCCCTTTCTTGTCGATGTTTCTCTCTCTCTCTCTCTTCCTCTCTCTCCCTCCCACTCTATCTGAACAAAAAAATGGAAAAATGTCCTTGGGTGAGGATAAAAAAAAAAGTAATTCATAGAATGGAACCTACAAAGTCATTTTAAAAGAACCAGGTCACTGTGTTCAGCCCGCTTGAATGTTCTCAAAGGTACACTACAAAGTGAAAAGAGCAAGATGTATAATATAGTATTAAGACTATGCTACCACTTATGTCAAAAAAATGAAGGCAAAATATTTTATTATATATAAATATCTCTGCAAAGCTGCACAAGATAGTGACAATTCTTATTGCCTCAGAGGATGAGGACCAGGTAGCTGGATGAGAGAGGACTTTTCACTGTGAACGTTTTTGTGACTTTTCAAAGATATGAATGTTATACTTATTAAAATCATTATTTAAAAGCCATTTTTTAATGAAAAAGTTCTAACCTCATCATAAGCACCTGCTTCAAGTGTTAAAAAATGCAACTGCTTCCCTGGCTGGATGGCTCAGTTGGTTGGAGCATCATCCCATACACCAAAAGGTTGTGGGTTCAATTCCTAGTCGGTGCACATACCTGTTTTTCGGGTTCGATTCCCAGTCGAATACCAAAGGCAACTGATCAGTTTTTCTCACACCAATGTTTCTCTTTCTCGCTCTCTCTCTCAAATCAATAAAAACATATACTCCGGTGAGGATTTTAAAAAATGCAACTATTAAACATGCTGATCCTGCAAGAGGAAGGGCCTGGGGATAAATAACAAAAAGATCAATCATAATTTTGAGTTAAAATTAATGTGTTATCATATTAATAATTTGATAGATAGTAATTTTGCCTTTTTAAAATTTAGAGACAACTAAATTTGAGAGACAACTTGAATGACCCAAACACATCTCAGATATTAAAAGGCAGTTGAAATTTTAGCACTAATATTTTCCCACTGAGAACATTTTCGAGAAGGACTTACTCAACATTTCTCCCATGTACTCTCTCTTCCTCAATTTATTTAAAGCTACAAGTGCTGCCAGTCAGTAGCAAACCAAAGCAACACCACAGGAAACAATAAATGTCATTGTCACTCACTTTCATGGTTCCTTGCTGTAGCTAACTTTGTTCTCTTATAGTCCACCTGCCAGAAAGAAGTTGGAGCAGGTATTCAGACAGATCATTTGCCCTGTAATGGGAGGCTCATGCCCAGAAGCCTGAGCCCCTGTAAGAGATAGCATACTAAAATGTCTTCCCAAGAACTATAATTTTTAATACATTTTCAAAAGATTTATTTATTGAACTCCATTCCCCTGCCAACCCCTGGAAAGCACTGTGTGTTTATATGCTATAGACATTCTACTATGGAACAGAAATAATGTCCCCTGGTGCTCTGAGGTATAAAGATGACACTGAGGTCAGCCAGATATAGCCACCACTGTGAGATAGAAAGCCATTTTTGTAAGTAGGGAAGTATTCCACTTTTTATCCAAGATAAAAACTACTCTACCTCATTTCTATATTATATGCAAATACATATTTTTTAAAAAGATTGGCTGCTCTCTATAGCTATGATAGTTCAAGTTTTACACACAAAACATTTATTTGAATCAGAATTTTTATGAAACTATAAATTATGTTCACAACATCAAGGCTCATGAAAATATTTTTAATATTAATATACATTTTCTTCACTCATGGAAATACACAAAACTTTAAACTACTATATTGGTATTACACAACAAAACCCATTGACATAAATACAAAATGTTTTGCAAACAGAATAACCTATACATTTTAAACACTTTCAATAATTTTTTCACTTGTATTTTTTGGAGGTATAGTACAGACCCAAGTGGAATGAGGATTGCTTTAATTAGGGCAGTTATTTTTGTAATTTCAGTCTTTCACAGCTTAGTGCATATGCAATTTTACTGTTGATGAAATAGAGAATTGCAGTATTTTCCATTTCTTAATAGTCTTGTTAGGGAACAGAAAAATATCTTGTGTGTCACATTTCTTGGAGGAATCAGTTGTTATGAAGAACCATTAGGGTTTGTTTCTTCTATGAATGGTTTCTGAATGCTTTAAATATGCTCATCTAAGTTTTGAATAATTGCCTAGGCTATTTACCTGGGATGTGCTACTTCTTGAACATGAGCGGATAATGTGTAGCCTTTCAAATTAATGGATGAGGTAGTTCAATCAATGTAATCGTGGAGGCTAGAAGTGAAAAGGAAAAAAAAAAGTTTTTTCTATCTGCCAAACTGTACATACTCCTGACTCATCCATCACACATCTTTGGAGTGATAAGAGGAAAGAAAAACAAAAAGGCCATGATTATTCCTGAGAGAGTACATGTGGGGGAATGAATGAAAATATCTCACCTAAATAAATGGTGGTTCTGTAATAAAATTCCCACAATCAGTATATTTTCATTTATATTTCTATTTTCAAACTTTCTGAATTGCAAGAATCCTTTCAACAGATACCACAACACATGTAAAGTATATAATATACAATATGGCACTGACCAACAATTTAAAATACTCATGAAGTACACATAAATGTAAGGCACCTTTGCGGTTTACAAAAGTGAATGCCTTAAAGTTAGGTGTTTTCCCAAAATGAAGAAATATCCTCATAAAAATTTATAGGATCCCTGAAAAACCAAGTTGGCATGAATCATCAGTGATCTTGGCAAACATCTGAGAACCTTGGTGTAACTGAAGAGCAGAGATAAGGGATAAATAATTTTTTTATTACAGAGTTCTATATATCAGTGCCAGGATTCTGAAACTGCTCTCATAAAAATCTATAGGTTCTATGTTCTTATAGTTTCTCAACCACAAAAAATTGACGAGTTGGCAACAACCATTCATAGTGTACTGCTGTTTAGATTTACTGATGACATCACACCAAGTCCATTATAAAGAAACTGGGAATAAAAAAGGGTTTGAGCCCTGGCCAGTGTGGCTCAGTGGTTAGATTGTTGGTCTGCACACCAAAGGGTCATGGGTTCAATTCCCAGTCAAGGACATGTATCTGGCTTGCAGGTTCGATTCCTGGCCCCAGGGGCATGTGAGGGAGGCAACCGATCTATGTCTCTCTCTCACATCAATGTTTGTCTCTATCAATGGAAAAAAATCCTTGGGTGAAGATTTAAAAAAAAAAAAAGCTTTGAGTTTTTCTGCAAATATTACAGCTTAGTAGAATGTTATTCAAATTACTTTAAAATGTAAAATTTGCCCTGGCCAATTTAGTTCAGTGGTTAGAGCGTTGGCCCGCAAACCAGAGTCGTGGGTTTGATTCCAGTCAAGGGCATGGACCTTGGTTGCAGTTTGGTCCCTGGCCCTGGTCGGGCTCGTGTGGGAGGCAACCAGTCGATGTGTCTCTCTCATGTTGATGTTTCTCTCTCCCCCTCCCACTCTATCTGAAGATAAATGGAAAAAAATATCTTCGGTGAGGAATTAAAATAAATAAATAAAATGTGAAATTTCATGTTTAAAAGAATTTTTTTTTCTTTATTGATTTTTGAGAGAGAAGGGAAAGGGAGAGAAAGATAGAAACATCGATGAGAGAGAACATCAACTGGCCACCTCCTGCATGCCCCCCACTGTGGATTTGGCCCACAACCTGGGCATGTGCCCTGACCGGGAATCGAACGGGTGACCTCTTGGTGCATGGGTTGACGCTCAACCACTGAGCCACAGGGGCCAGGCAGGTCATGTACTGTTTTAAATCAAGAATTCCCAAATACAAATATTGTTGCTCCAATGTGAGCTTTGCTATGACTTCAAAATTAAAAGGTTTGCAACCTACAGTGTATTATATTTTCTTATCTAAAAGAGACAAAAAGGCTTAGATATTGTAAAGCCAAAAAGTTAAGAGAATAAGCAAATTTTTATGCCATCATTTCCAGAAATTCTAAAAGAGCCAAATCTCTAGATTATGGTTGGTGAGGACAGGTCATTAAGAAAGTCAAGGATTCAGGACAGATACAATGGTACCTTTCCTCTTTATTCACAAAGTAAAAGAGCATGGACGTTAAAAAATTATTTCTATGTTACATCAGTTTAACAATTTAGTGATTATTAAATGAGATAATTAAAAATGCTATTTTCAAATCATTTTTCTTAAATTAAAGAATGCAATTAGTACATTCTTGTGGATGTTGCTGAATATGGAGAATAAAATGCACAGCTAGCTCCTTGCATTATTTACAATTTAAATCTTCTTTGCACTTCATCTGCAATCATTCCAGAAATTGCAAGGGAAGAAGTAGCAGCAGGGGAAGGTGCATTTCTCACATGAAGAATGTGATTTCCAATAGCCCCAACTCCTCCATCAAATACAAAATCTTCTACCAGATTTCCATCTTGATCCAGAGCTTGGGCTCTTACTCCAGCTGGACCTCTGAAAAACCAAGAGTGGCAGTCATCTGACTAGAAGAAATATGATACTTTGCAAGTCAGTGGTCTCAAGTATTCTTAAATAATTAAAGTATTCTTCTAAATGCACAATCATGTGGAAACCTAATAGGTTTGTCAGTTATAGCCTATAAAACTTATATCTTCAGTCTAGAGCATAATGCCTGCCACATAACAGTGCCAAAAAATGCTTATCAAATAAATATACAAATGGGTAAGTTATAAATATCTGTTCTTTCCAAAAGCAGCAGAAAACCCATATTTAATTAGAATAAGTGTATTTTTATTAATACACAGCAATAAAAGTAGGAAATATGCATGTCAGTGCACTCCTAAATCCACTACAGAATTCTATTTTTGTGTTTTGTCTTGATTGTACACTATTAAAATTTATGGAGAAAAATATTTGGAAATGGCAGCAAATTCTTAGTTTGTAATTTGTTTTAATTTTTAACAGTTAGCATTCAATATCAGGCTAACTTTCAATTAGTTAAACAGAGACAATGGGATAAGGACAAAATTAATTAATTTGCTAGTATGTATATACAGTAAGAACCTTTACTACTAAAAGTGCTATTTTATAACACATAAGTTTACAAACTAGATCTTTTGTCTTTATAACTGTTTAAAAAGCCCTGACCTGTTTGGCTAAACGGTAGTGTAGGCCCTCAGACCAATGAGTCCCGGGTTCGATTCCAGCCAAGGGCATGTACCTAGGATGCAGGTCGACCCCGGCCCTGGTCAGGATAGTGTGGAAGGCAACCAATCAAGGAGTCCCTCTCACTTCGATGTTTCTCTCTCTCTCCCTTTCTCTCCCTCTCTCTCTACCTGAAGATAAATAGAAAAATATCCTCGGGTGAGGAAAAAAATAAATAAATAAAATAGTTTAAAAATTTACAGATGAAATTTGAATAAAATATTTTTGGAATCCAAAAGCATCTTCATTGAATCTGCTCAAGTAAACACAATTTGAAAACACCTGCCTATACACACTACCAAGACTCGAGAAATCAGACAACAATATTAAACATTTTTATTGATTCTGAGCCAATGCAGGTAAGTACTTGAAGAAGATACAGAGAACTATTTGGGAGCACTGCCCTCTAAGACGTCAGCCTGGCTGAAAAAAGATGATAATAATAGCTATTATTTACCAAGTGCTTACTCGGTGTTAGGAATTCTCTCATATAATCCTTTCAACAACTCTAAGAGGCTGATAACAGTTTATATTTAACAGTGAAGAAACACAGAATGATTAAGTAACTTGCCTGAAGTTACCTAGCTACACCATTCATTTGTAGAGAAGAAAATAAAGATTACAACAAGGGTGAAAGGTTCTACAATAAAGGTAAATAATCTGCCCTATAGAGGCCTATGGGGAATCTGGACAGATTTTTGAGATGTAAGGATTTCCAAGAATCAGATACAGCATTTAGAACATAACAAAATACAGATGGCTAAGATACAGAATTGCATTTCTCTGATGGTCACTAATCATCAGAGAAATGCAAATTAAAACCACAATGAGATACTACCTCACCTGTTAGAATGGCTATCATCAATCAATCAACAATGAGTGCTGGCAAGGATGTGGAGAAAGGGGAGCCCTCGTACATTATTAGTGGGAATGCAGACTGGTGCAGCCACTATGGAAAGCAGCATGTAGTTTCCTCAAAAATTAAAAATAGAACTGCCTTTTGAACCAGCAATTCCATTTCTGGGAATATATTTGAAGAAACTCGAAACACTAATTTTACAGAACATATGCACCCCTATGTTCACTGCAGCATTATTTGCAATAGCCAAAATCTGGATGCAGCCCAAGTGCCCATCAGTAGATGGGTGGGTAAAAAAGCTGTGGTCATTTACACAATGGAATGCTACTTGGCTATAAAAATAGAAGGAAATCTTACCCTTTCGACAGCATGGATGGACCCGGAGAATACTGTAACAGGGGGGATTGTAACCCACCCCATCATTTTTTTGATGTTGTTTCCGTAAATGCTGACTCTGACTAATATGTATATAAACAGCATGTTTGTATAAGAATCCTAGGAACTAACTTCAGAAGATACAGACTCCGACCTTCAGTCATGCCAGTTCCAGGAGATTTACTGACCTTCAGAGTTAAAACCAGGATGATGCAGAACCAGGATGACGCACACCAGACCATCACTTGATCAGTTAAAAGGTCCTTATTGGAATGAATTGTGCTGGACTGCATGTAGAAAACTTTTCTACCCCCTCCCCTTGATTTCTTTGTTCTGCTTTCCCTCTCCTTCCTTATAAAAACCTCTGCCTGCACTAAGATGTTGAGATGGTATCTCATAGTTGTTTTTAATTTACATCTCTCTAATGTTTAGAGACGTTGATCATTTTTTCATATGTCTCATGGCCACTTGTATATCCTATTTGGAGAAGTATCTATTCAGGTCCTCTGCTCATTTTAATCAGATTATGTGTCTTCCTTTTGTTGAGTTGTATGAGTACTCTATATATTTTGGAAATTAACCCCTTATCTGATGTATCATTGGCAATTATGGTCTCCCATATAGTGGGATTCCTTTCCATTTTGATGGTTGTTTCTTTTGCTGTGCAGAAGCTTTTTCGTTCGATGTAGTCCCATGTGTTCATTTTTTCCTGTTTCTCTTGCCTTAGGCAGTGTATGAGTGAAAATTCTGCTGCATATGATGTCTGAAATTTTGTTGCCTTCATTTTGTTTTAGGATTTTTATGGATTCATGGGTCACATTTAAGTCTTTTATCCATTTTGAATTTATTCTTGTGTATGGTGTAAATTGTTGGTCTAGTTTCTTTTTTCCTTTCTTTTCTTTTTTTTTTTTTGCATATAGCTTTCCAATTTTCCCAGCACCATTTATTGAGGAAACTTTTTTCTCCATTGTATACTCTTGCTTCCTTTGTCAAATATTGTGTGTACTGTCTTTGATCGATATCTGGGTTCTCTGTTCTATTTCATTGATCTATATGTCTGTTCTTGTGCCAGTACCAGGCTGTTTTAATTACAATGGCTTTGTGATATCACTTGATTTCTGGTATTATGATCCCTCCTACTTTGTTCTTTTTCAAAATTGCTGTGGCTATGCAGGGTCTATTATGGTTCCATATACAGTTTTGGAGTATTTGTTCTAGATCTGTGAAATATGCTGTTGGTACTTTAATGAGGATTGAATTGAATCTGTAGACTGCTTTGCATAGCATGGACATTTTATTTTATTTATTTAATGTGTTTTTATTGATTTTTAGAGAGAAAGGAATGGAGAGGGAGAGATAGAAACATTGATGAGAGAGAAACATCAATCAGTTGCCTCTTGCACGCCCTCCACTGGGGATCGAGCCCTCAACCCAGTGACCTCTTGGTGCATGGGTCAATGCTCAACCACTAAGTCATACTAGCCAGGCTGTATGGACATTTTAATGATGTTGATTTTTCCCATCCACGAACATGGTATATGTTTCCACTTTTTATATCTTCCTCTAATTCTTTTTTCAATGTCCTGTAGTTTTCTGAGAATAGGTCTTGTACCTCTTTGGTTAAGTTTATTCCTAGGTATTTTATTTTTTTGTTGTTGCAATGGTAAATGGGATTTTTTTTCCCTTTCTGAGTGTTCATTATTGGTGTATAAGAATTCCAACAATTTCTGGATGTTAATTTTGTATGCTAGTTTGCCAAATTCATTTATTAAATCTAATAGTTATTTTTGGTGGAGTCTTTAGGGTTTTCTATGCATAATATGTTGTTGGCAAATAATGACAGTTTCACTTCCTCCTTTCCAATTTGGATGCCTTTTATTTTTCTTCTTGTCAGATCACTGTGGCCAAGACTTCCAGTACTGTGTTGAATAAGAGTGGGGAAAATGGACATCCCTGTCTTGTTCCTGTTCTTAAGGAAAATGCTTTTACCTTTTGTTCATTGAGTGTGATGTTGGCTGTAGGCTTTTCATATATGGCCTTTATTTATTTATTTATTTATTTATTTATTTATTTATTTTTCTTTATTGATTTTTAGAGAGAGAGGACTGGAGAGGGAGAAAGAGATAGAAACATCAATGTGAGAGAACATTGCTTGGTTGCCTTTGAGCATGTCCACTGAATGGGGATTTGGCCCACAACCTGGGCATGTGCCTTGACTGGGAATCTTGGTGCATGGGTTGATGCTCAACCACTGAGCCACACCTTTATCATGTTGAGATATGATCCCTCTATTTCCACATTGCTGAGCATTTTTATCAGAAATGGTGCTGGATTTTGTCAAATGCTTTTTCAGCATCTATTGAAATGATCATATGGTTTTTATCTTTCCTTTTGTTTATGTGGTTTATCACATTTATTGATTTGCGAATATTGTACCAACCTTTCATCCCTGGGATGAATCCTACTTGGTCACAGTGAGTAATTTTTTTGATGTATTGCTAGATCCAATTTGCTAGTATTTTGTTAAGGATTTTGGCATCTATGTTCATCAGGGATGTTGGCCTCTAGTTTTCTTTCTTTGTATTGTCTTTATCTGGTTTTAGAATTAGGATTATGCTGACCTCATAAAAAGAATTTGGAAGTCTTCCTTCTTCTTGAATTTTTTGGAATAGTTTGAGGAGAATGGGTGTTAGTTCTCTGAATGTTTGTTAAAACTCCCCCATGAAGCCGTCCGGGTCCGGGCTTTTGTTTGCTGGGTGTTTCTTGATTACATCTTCAATTTCCTTAGTTGTTATTGATCTGTTCAAGTTTTCTGTCTGTTCCTGGTTCAGTTTAGGGAGACTGTGTGATTTTAGAAATTTGTCCATTTCACCTATATTGTCCAATTTGTTTAATTGCTGATAGGTTTGATTTCTATCATATTATTGTTTTTTTCTGGGCTTTTCCCATTTCTTTTCTTGCCTTAACTGAGTTTTGTACATTATATTTTCCTTCTTTACAGGCTTGGAAATTATATAATCTATTTTCATTCTTGCATATGGTTTTATTTATTCAG